CGTCGGTCCGTCAAGTTAACACATAAACGTCCTGATTCTTTTTCAAGTTTGAAGTATTTTTATTATTATGGACAATGTGGTTTCAGCTTTTTTGATGTTTTCTTTAATAGGTGCAACTGTAAGAAGACAAGATTTCCAAATGGTAAGAATGCTTTACACCATTTTTCCCGGGTCTGTCGGCTCTGCGAACTTGTTTAATATCCACCAATGTGAAAAATTCCTCCTTCAAAACATATATGTCTAATTTTTGAATATTTTCTTTCAAGTAATTCTGTCTTCAACTTCATTCAAATCATCACGTTCTGACTCACAAACTTCAATCAAATTATATCTTTCAGCACATGCCAAAGAATACAAAGATCTGTCACTAAGTTCTTCTTGGTGTTACTGAGACAAGTTTTGCCAAATGAGATGTAATTTCTAAACAATTTTGTTTTTTTTCAAAAATAACACCCTGATAATCCAAGAACAGCATCATAACTTGTGTCTTGTCAACATTACTTGGTCGTTCAACTTCATGTCCCATAATAGATTGAAAGAATAAACAAGTGAAAAAAACGCAATATGATCTATTGTACAACAGAGTCCGCACAGGTCTATAATATCCATAGCATCTATAAAAATAAGCATGGGGATACTGCCCTCTACCACCGGCTCTCTAGGCGGGAGCCAGTTGGCGCAATCATTCGTGCACACCTCCATTCTGGGTTAAAATCTTTTGAATAGATCCTTTGATCATACAGGGGGTTTGTTGTTAGGAGGATAGATCAGTAGCGACCGAATTCGTACTCATCATTAAAAGGGTTCAAAACTGAGGTGGACTAAGTTTATAATACATAATTAACTAAGTAGTCAATGTCAAGCAACTTCAAATTTCTTCATCTCAAATTTACAAAATATGGTTCACGTCAGCTTTGAATATCCCATTTGTGTGTTGCTAGTGCCAGCCTATTGTGGGAAAAAATTGTGAGTTTTGATTTTTGTGTGCTTCATTATTATACAGGGTGTCCCAAAATTAGCCTGCCAAACTTCACCAGCGGCTTTTACGACCAAAAATAGAAAGAAAACTCTCGCTGAACATGAGTCGCGAAATGTCTCCTAAGGGAGCTACGGCCCCCTGAAAGGGGGCCCCTGAAGATGATATTTCTTGAGTATTTCCGAAACTCCATGTGATAAAAAGATGCAATTTGGTACTAAAACTGAATTTTCCATGCCCAATGCAGTGTTGATAAAATTATTTCAAAATTTCAATCAGGAGGGTATAATACAGGGTAATTTTTTGTATGCATATTTTCCGACAATTTAATCCTGGATTATAAAATTTCACACCCCTTCACAGAAAAAAGGTACTCTTGTTCCGTGACGATCAGTTGTATTATTATCGAGTAAAAGCAATTTTAAAATATTGTTACATCTCAGATATTATGCATAACATTGCAATGAGGCATAGTGAAAATGGAAAAAAAATCACAAAAATTGAAGTAGTTCTTTCACACATCATTTTCCTATTCTTCGAGCTTTAATGATATTGTTTGGCAGATAGAAAGTACTTGATTCCTTTATAGCCACTATGATTCGAAAATGGGCAAAGTTATGCATAAGATGTAAATGCATCCATATTTTTAAATCGATTTCACTGGAAAATGATACATCTGATCAATGCTGAACAAGAGCACCTTTTTTGTGAAACGGTGTGGATTTTCATAATCCGAGATTAAATTTTTTTGCAAATCGATTATATATAGGTTCAATGAAGGGCCTTAAATTAGCCTCAAACTATGATTTACTCAAAATTCTCATGTTCCTTTTATTTCAGATTTGGTTCTACTAGCTTAATGATTAAGATAGGATAACCCGAGGGATAACCCATGGTTTCTTTTTAGAAACAATGTGCGAAAAAAAAACTGCAATAGGCTAGGATTAGAGCCTCTGAATAGCCTCAAATTATAGTATAATTAGTTTTGTGGTAGAACTCTCTTCAATTTTGTTGACAGAAAATGATCAACAAAAAAATCGATGATAGGTTCAATGAAGAACCTTGAATAAGCCTTAAATTATGGTGAACTCAATATTCTTATATTCTTTTTATTTGAGCTTTGGTTCTGCTAGCTTAACGGTTAAGCTAGCAAAACCCATGATTTACAAAAAAACGATGTTCGAAAAAATCGGCAGTAGGCTAGGATTAGAGCCTTAAATTAGCCTCAACTCATGATATAATTAGTTTCGTGATTGAACTTTCTCTGTGTTGCTATTGGTTTGTCGTGTTCATGTTGGATTTTGGAATTTTTTGCAGAAAATGATCAACAAAAGAATCGATAGCAAAAAAAATCAATGATACGTTCAATGAAAAGCTTTGAATCAGCCTCAAATTATGGTGGCCGCAATATTCTTATATTTTTTCTATCTGAGATTTGGTTCTGCTAGGGGTTAAGCTAGCAAAACACATGATCTTTTTCAAAAGATGTGCAAAAAAATCGGCAATAGGCTGAGATTAGAGCCTTGAATTATCCTCAAATTATGGTATGATTAATATTGTGATTGAACTTTTTTTGGTTTGCTATTGGTTTGTCAATTTCGAGGTCAGGTTCATATTGGATTTGGGGGAATTTTTAGCAGAAAATGATCAACGAAAAAATCTATATTAGGTTCAATTTATTAGGCTGAATTTTCTATATTCCTTCTATTTGAGATTTGGTTCTGCTAGCTTAATGGTTAAGCTAGCAAAACCCATGAATTTTTTCAAAAAAACAATGTGCAAAAAATTTGGGAATAGGCTAGGATTAGAGCCTTGAATTAGCCACAAATTACGGTTTAAGTTTGATGATTGAACTTTTTTTGGTTTGCTATTGGTTTGTCATGTTCATATTAGATTTGGGAAATTTCTCACATAAAATGGTAAACAAAAAAATCGATGAAAGGTTTATTGAAAAGCCTTAAATTAGCCTTGAATTATGGTGTACTCAATATTCTTATATTCCCCCTATTTGAGATTTGGTTCTGCTAGCTCAATGATTGAGCTAGCAAAACCCATGTATTTAAAAAAAAACAAAGAGAGAAAAACTGGGATCAGAGCCTAAATTAGCCTCAAATTATAGCATTATCAGTTTTGTGATTGGACTTTTATTTACGAGGTGGTTCTGCTAGCTTAAGGTTGAGCTAGTAAAACCCCTGTTTTCTTGCAAAAATCAAACAGCAATAAATTCAGCAATAGGGTTATAAATTAGCCTAAAATTATGGTTGAAGAAAAATTTCAAAAATTCAAAGTGGTTCTGCTTAGCTTAATGGAGGTGAATTGAAGGAATTTTTGGGAAATCAATGAAGGCTGTGGTCAACCCCTGGAAGAAGACAAGGAAGAACTCTGATCAAATCATACAATCCAGTAATGAACCCAGTTCAGAAAAAACAGGAAATAGAAAGAGCATCTGAGAATTCCAGTGATGTGTTGAAAAGAATACAGATAAATTACTCATTTGAAAAACATGTAACATATTTATCAGGAAGATTATCTGCAAAAACTTCTTAGGAACATTAAAAAATAAAGAAGGGAGAAGACACCTTCAGCAATATTCTTCAATGGTTGGAGAATATTGATGAAGGAGAATAAACAAAGAAAATTAAGATAAAGAAATTGTAAAACAGAAGTGAAACATAAATATGGAAATGAATGATAAAATAGAAATGCAAAATCAAAAACATCTTCTTGAAATTAATGATGTACTTCATGAAATTCCTACTGACAAAAAATAAGAGACTGAAACAAAAAAGGTGTATCTGGCAAGAAACACTAGAGTGATACCAAATAATGTGAAAACGAAAAAAATGTTGCCTGTGATTTGTGACCCTGATGGTATCATTTAGGGTGTAAAAAGTTAACAAGGCTTCCTAATCCTGATATCTCCAAGTTCGATTTTGACTGTGATTTTTGTATTAATTCTGATTAGTTGTATACCATTATTTCACCATTTTCTTGTAGTAATTCTTGATTTCAATGAAGTTTATATTTTTGTTCATAATTAATGCTGAGTGATTAAAATTCTTCAAATTACCATGTTTTTGGAATAAGATCTGCATATTTTCTTATTAATTGAATTTATTTCTGACTATTTTGACTTCATTTTATTTCAAATTATAGCACCTTATGTGCAACTGTTGAAACCCTTCAATTATAAGTAAACCAAAAATGGAATGACTGTTCTATTTGATGAATAATACTCATATATCCTGGTCATAATGGATACATGCATGAATACACATCAATATCATACAAACTCAATTGAACGCTGGTCTGGACAAAATCAACCAATCAGAAGCTGTGGGACCTTTAGCAAAAATGTACTTTGTTGTTATTTAATTGCTGAAAAATCATATGATGTTGATATAAATTACTTTCTTCTCCAATTATCACTATACAAAGACAAATTCATGAAATATTACCTAGAGGAAGTCATAGTAAGTTTCCCTTAAAACTGTACTTTTAAGTCAAGTATTTACCTATGCTTAAACTGGCTAATTCATCCTATCACCATCACCCCAGGGCGAGGGGTAAATCTCCTTGGAAGTCTGGTGTACACTCCGTTGGAAGTCTTTGGAATTCTTTGGGTTTCTTTGGATGTCTTTGGAAGTCTTTGGATGTCTTTGGGTGTCTTTGGAAGTCTTTGGGAGTCTTTGAAAGTCTTTAGGAGTCTTTGGGAAACTTTGAAAGTCTTTGGGAGTCTTTGGAAGTCTTTGGAAGTCTTTGGTCATTGGAAGTCTGGTGTACACATTTTTCCTGGAGATTTACCCCTTGCCCCAGGGTATAATAAGAGATTGACAAATACCTATATACACTGAGTTCACAATTCCAGCCCAGTGGAAAATGGTATCAATATACAAAAGCCTTGACAAAAACATTAATCCATACAGGAATTCTATGTACTATGTAACTTAAAATGTGGCAGTAGTACTATCAAGTAATAGTAGTAGGAGAATTATTTCTAGTATAGCAGCAGGTTGGTACTTACAGTTATGCACAACCTGTTCAAAACAATTTTTGGGCCCATTGCATAAGTAATTATAGAGTCCAAAATACGCTTCTTCAATAGTTCATAATGGTCCTCAGGTACTTCATTCCAATATTTCATCAACTTTGTGTGCAATGTTGTGGCAGCAAAGAATTGAACTTCAGAACTCTGTGAGAAGACAAATGGAGTTAGGCAAATTGAAGAATTGATGTATGGGGCTATTACCTTATTGGGATCAAGAAGCTCCCAAACAAATCTCCAAGCTTGTGGAGATCTCTGTGCTTCAGTTAACCACTGATGAGCTTCTGCCTGTTGATGTGCTTCAGTTCTATAGAACATAGTGACTGCTTTTTCTAAGTCATCAGTTGTGTAATCCATATTCCAATCAAAAACGTTTTATTGTAAAAATGTCCCTATATTCTGATATCCATACGGAGATTCAAACGTTTTCAGGTATCCTAGAATAATTATTATTTGTCACGTTTTGGAAAAGAAAGTTTGAAATCTTTTGGATCACTACCACAAATTCACAGTAATTTTATATTTTATATTTTAATAATACTGCACAAAAACAATAACACATAGAACCATAAACACAAAATACAACTATCAATGCGGAATTGACGCTTTTGACAATCTTGACATATTTGAGTTGAAGCAAACTAGCGTCTGCAGAGAGAACGCAAGTAATAAAGCTCGTGGTGGGGGAATATTGCATCGCGTTAGAAGCTACCAAAACCACTAGAGTCTAGCGATAGCACCAGTGCGAGAATATTGCGCCTGGTGCGCAGGTCGCTGGGCGCGAGAAATTGCAGCGAAACAAAAACAAATAAGTCATTGTTGTGAAATGATACATTAGACAACTGCTTTCCTAGTTGATACCATGTTACAGGGTGATCCCTAGAATCGTGACACACCTCAAATCAATTTATTCAAATTGAATTAACACTGTACTGTTCATAATTATTACATATATATATCCCCAGATAGCACGAATATTCTCAGAATATTCTTACAAGCTGCGAAAATGTCATCTTCTAGAATAATATTCTGAAGAATATGCATAGAAAGTTCTCAGTATGTTGCGAATATTTATGGAATGTTCCATGCGAATATTCTGATAGTATAACATGAAAGTACATTCCTAGAAGCTCCTGGGATATAATATTCCAAAATGTTCATTAAATAATATTTTCAGAATATTGTGAACATTCATGGAATACTTTGCGAATATACTAATGATATTCTGAAAATATGTTCCAATGAGCTTCTGAAATGGAATATTCTAGAATGACAATGTTCAAATATACTTATTTCAGAATATTCTAACATAATGTCCTTAAAATGATCATAAAATATTTTCATCCTGCAACGAATATTCTATGAACATTCAATCACACATACACAAGAATATTCTTTTCGAATTTTCTGAGAATATACGAGAATCGTCTCAAATTATGAAATTGATGTTATTATTCATGTATTGATATACAAAGTGTTCCCCTTACCAAACCCATTATTATAATGGTTGTATATATATGCCACTAAGTGTTGAGATCTTCCCATTCATATCATTCATTAAAAAGGTCTGTAGCTCAGTGGTTAAGGTGACAGGTAAATAACTATGTAGAAATTTCCAAATGTCTCTCGAATTGTTTACTCAATAATTTTTCACTGCACATTGGACAAGTGGAATTACCTGTTTCTTTCATAGTATTTGTAGATGAATTGTTACATTTCTTTGTATGAATTTTTAACTCCCTCTGATTTATAAACTGTTGTCCACATTTATCACAGGAAAACACTTTTTCACTTTTCTTCGACGGGGCTCTATCTTTGTTGGATGTAACTTCAAACAATGAGTTCTGAGATTTTGAAAAGAACTGAATGTTTTCGAACATTCTGCACAACAGTTCGATTGCATTTTTAAAGTGTGAAACGCTAGACTTGGAGGTCAAACGATAAATGAGTACATATTCTGGAAACAGTTCGAATGGCAACCAACAAATCTCCTTTCCGTGATACATGATTCGCCGCCAATTAAGGGTATTGGGTATTCTTTTACCAATGATATGATGATTGTTTCGCTCCAATATTTGTCCCGCGCCGCACGGCCGCAACCCTTCTCGCCTCGCTTCTCGCGCTCGGCGAGCGAGCGAGCAAGCAACGAAATTTTCTGTTTCTCGCGCCCAGCGACCTGCGCACCAGGCGCAATATTCTCGCACTGGTGCTATGGCTAGACTCTAGCACCAAAACCGAATTGAGTTCACGTTCATTGTGAGTTCATTGGGTTCATAACCCCTGATTTATAGATACCCAGTGATGCCAATGTGGGCGTTACATATAGGGCGTTATTACTGGATTTGCACCGATTCGCATCGCCTCGCAGTGAAAATGCGGTAATGACATTTTGTGTGGATTCTGCACGCATTCACTGGTCTTGTAAATAAATAACAATCGCAATTTTATTCATCATATTCTTTATTGTGAGCACGGTGAGCAATATACGTTTCACGAATGAAGCGACAACTCCAAGAGTCCAAGAGAAGAACAGCACTAACAGTACAGGATATAATAACCCTTAAATAACCCTTACAACACAGGGATGTCCTAGGTACGTCCCTTTTTTGTCCCGCGGTACAAGGACATGATTGGGGCATCCAGGGAATGTCGCGCAGTGGTTGTCCAGTGGACATCCCGCGCGGTACATCCCTAGGTTATCCTAGGGTCCCTTGATGGAAATTGACGTTAAAGTCATCTTAACAGGGTACGGACAGATCCTCGTCTCCTCTCACTCTAAAGTGTTTGTGAAACAGTTATTTAGTTCCATATTCCATCCTTATTCAATTCCGGGGATAAACACTAGATTCTTGACATTCGTTGTTTTTTAGGTTATATTGAGGGCACTGGCGTATCATACGTAATTTCCATATGGAATTCCTGATTCAACTATACCAAGATATAGATGAACAATCCTCTAGTTTTAGAAATTACTACTGCAGCATAATCTTTGCGAGGTAAAGAACATATAAATTGTACTGAAAGTTTAATATATTTCACCAAGAGAGATTGTTCTTAGACTGTATACCAGGGCTGACTGAATTGACTAAATGGATTCTTATTTCAAGCTGAGCAGTAGTTTATCTATGAGCTGAATGAGCTGAGCCTTATGATTGACAAATGGTGGAAACCTCGATGTTGGTATCTAGACTACTGTACTCATGTAATGTGTGCTAAATATATTCCCAGAAATCCAACTCGGAGAAGAATTTATGTAGTTACTCATATCACACTTTGTATAAAACTTCGTCTAGGACGAAAAGTAGGCTGATAAAAATTAATACGTAGAATGTGCAGGAAAATAAAGAATAGAATATACTTCACCCCCCTGTTATACATATGATTTTGCCATCTCTTTTGAATAAAAAGTCATTTTCGAATAATATATTGATGAAAGTAACAAAGAAGTAGGTACCTATATACGCTAAATATACGCAGTAATCGCAGTATAACTTATAGGCACGTTATTTTCACTCTTGCATCCTACATATTTTCTATTCTTGGTAGAGAAATAATCATATAAACTAATGTCTTTCGCCATATTGGATCCGTCATCTTGAGTTTTTCAATTTTGACGAAAGAATCATTATCTCCTACCCCGAAAACCCCCAGATACCAATTTTGAATAGAATCGGATCTTCATTACAAAACTCGTGCACTATATCCCATACAGCACATGACATCCATTGGACGTCCATTTTAGGTTCATTTCAATTCCAAACGTCCATGGACATTGAATGGACATCCAATGTACGTACAAACATGGATTATCATTGGATGCTTCATATTGTATGTACAGTGGGCGTCCACTCAATGTCCAACTACGCATGTACGTAGAATGTACATTTATTGTACTTATAAAGATGGATGTACGATGTATGTTTCAAAATTACCGTCCGTTGGACATCCATTTTATGTCAACTCAAGGACTAAAACTCTCGTAGACGTTTAATCAACATCCATTGTACGTACAGAGACGGACGTACATTGGATGATTCAAATTAAACTTACATTGGATGTCCATTTAATGGCCATTCTGAGTTCAAGCGTTAATGAATGAAGAATGAACATTATATTTATATGTATATTAATAATTGTTCAAAGTAAATGTCTGTATGAAATCATTTTAGATCTGAAGGTTTATGGACGTTGAATGAACGTACATTGTACGTTCAGAGATGGACGTGAAACTATTGATTTTACAGCCACGTGGAGGGGAGGCAAAAGGTCAGATCGGTCGGTAGAGTAGGGGTAGCGTCTGGCGTGATTCTGATGCCATTTTCAGTTGGTAAATGACCGTAAACATGATGTGTTGTGTTTCTGTAAATAAGGCTTCATTCACCAGTCAGAGTTAAGCTGAACAGGATTTGGGGTATAGACAATCGATTTCTACCTATATAGCAATTTATAATATTTCTTTTTTTTACAGAAACAAGAATTTGAAGTGGACTGAAGAAGACATGAATCAACAATATATTTATATATATGCAATCGACACCAAATATATATCTCAATAGAAGAATTTATATTTGCTACCTACTGATTTTTCATCATTTGATTCCCAAAGATGAGCATCCATTATACACCCACATGTAAACATCCAATGTACGTCCAAAGTGGTGTCCTCAAGACATCCAATGGACTTTCATTGGACGTTTATCGTCCAATTTGGTACGTCCAATGAATGCCCAGACATGTACATCCATTGTGAGTCCAAATATGAACATCCACTGTACATCCACATAAAGACATCCACAGTACGTCCAAAGTGGTGTCATCAGGAAATCCAGTGGACGTCCATAGGATGTTAAACGTCCACTCGAGTACTTCCATTGGACGTCCTTACGATCCGACGTGGACGTACATTGTACGTACATTGGACATACATGTGCTGTGTGGGATAGGATCTGCCATCTTGAATTTTCCAAGTTTGACGAAACAATCATCATCTCCAACCCCGGAAACCCCCAAATACCTTCCAATTTTGAATAGAATCGGATCATAATTTCAAAACTCGTTCGCCATATGATCTTCCTCAACGAGTAAATACCCTGTACATACCAATTATTAAAATTTTGAATGATTTTCTGTAGCGCTCTTGGATGTGACGTGACAGCAATGTCAGGGATGCCAGTAGACAAAACTAAAATCTCTAGATCATTAAAAAAGAATGCAGCTATGATCTGTCCGTACCCTGTTAAGATGACTTTAACGTCAATTTCCATCAAGGGACCCTATAGGTTATCCTATTCGTGTCCCTGGAATATCTGATATCCATTCACATCACAGTCTTTGAATTTCATCAACGAATCAATTTG